CTCAGGTTCTTATAATTATGCATATAAATTTAATGTTTTTGTATTATCTAGATAGAGCTTTAATTCAAAGATTTGCTAATTGCAGTTTGAATCATGTTTTAATTATTGATTTTTTATCTCATATTTTTAATATCCAAAACCGTGGCTTTTATTTGATGTGTGATTTAATAAATTTTTATTATGTAAAATTTTGATAATTCATGAAAATGCTGTAAATTTTATGAATTTTGTTTTTTTAAGAGGAGTATCCAAGTTAATTATTTCATCAGATAATTCAAGTGAAGAAAGAGGCAAATCAGTATTGACTGGAATTTCTTGAGTTTCTTGTAAAGAAAAATCAAGTTTAGAAGCTTTTGAATGACAGGCTTCATTAGCTTTTTGTAAGTTTGAAAGAAGTGATTTTATTTTTTCTGTGTGATTTGGCATTTCAAACAGCAGCAAATTTTGAAAATTATATATAAAATATTACAAAATAGTGAAATTTTAAACCCTTGTAACTTTTGCTAGTAAGTCTAAAAAAAATAATCTGGCTGCAATGAATTATTCACTGACTTCTAAATAATTGTTTGTTGCAATTATTTTTTTAAAATTGATTGTCCCTGAGGAGCAGATACAATTTTTGGTAAGCCAATAATAGTTGATGGCCTTTACTGTCATCCACTGTACTATGGAACCCAAGTATTTTGAAGAAAGAACAAGAAAAAAAATACCTTTTATGTTTTTAAAATAAATAATTGCACAAATTGACATATTCATTACTATATTTATTTTATTATTTATATTCATAAATATTTTAAATTTTTAAATTCGTTAAATTGTTTAGTTACAGCCAATACTCAATGTAGTAGTTGAAAGATAAAAAAAACAAATCCAGTACATGTTCATAAAATTGCAATTCCATTCAAGTTGATATTTCTAATGAAGAGGTTAAACAATTTGTTTTTTAGTATTGGACCTGGCTTTTCTTGTATGTGCTGCCACCTGTTTAAGGAAGAAAAATATAATTTCAGCAATGAGTATTTAAAATTTTAGTGTTTAATAAAATTTCTGTACTGCAAGTTTTACTGGCGAGGAAATTTCCTCAATTGTCTTGTGATCAGTTGCATGTTTTTTATTTATTGCTTCATTTTTTACAAACTTCCTATTCTCCTTTGCATATTTCAGCGCAGATGCAAAAATAGATTTGGCATTCTGAATTATTTCCTAAAAGTGTAATAAATAGTCTAGCATGCCAATAATAAATTGACAACACCACCATTATACAAGACAAAAAAATGCAATACTTGCCTTTATGAATATAAAGTTATGACATGCATCTCCAATGTTATAGGGGCTAATTTTAGAATAATCTGGGATGGTGAAGCTTGATACTTCATCTGCAGCCCATATTCCATCTCCTAAGTAGAAAATAACATGTATCTTTATAGTAAATTCCACAATACAAATACCCACAATTGGTATTTCTTTTAGTGCTTTGTTCAAATTTGCATCTAAAGTTCCACCTGTTGCTTCAAGCAATGCCTGTGCACATGCTGAATGCTGGTCTCGACTCACTTTCATTACTTTCATGAAGGCCATCCTTGATCTCAAATGGTGAGATTGTACTTCTGGTCCTGAGTTTTCTGCTATTCCAAACTCTCTTCCATGCTCAACTGATGCATCACGAAGTTCATGTGCCTAAAAATGAGAAGAAAATTATTATGTCATGACTAATAAAAGTAATCCAAAATAACTAACTGCTTTGATAATTACAGCAAAGATAAAGTCTGAGTGTTGACCAACATTGTTAACCCCAAATCTTTGTTTACGAGCCCCAGATGCAGATGATACTAATTCACCACTGTAAATATATAGATAATTAATAGAAGTCACAATAGAAATATAATAATTTGGAAGATTAAATTACTAGTGATATTCAGCAACAGATTGAATGATCTCCATGAATGGCCTTATAAAATGTATATCTACACTTCATTCTCCACCTGGTGGTATTCCCAATTGTACATTTTTAACACTATTAAACAATAAGTTTATTATTAGTACAGACAAAGTTATCCAACCAAACCTCATTAAACATATACACATTAGTACATACTATTCATCAATAACTTGGAAAATCCATTTTATGACTGGATCATCTGCATGTGATACAGCCAGTTTTTTGGCATCCAACAAGATATCATTATCATTGCCAGAATGTGGTTTTTGTTTCCTTAATAAATCCATTAATGAATCATTTCTTTTTTTAAGATCTAAAGTTGAAATCTTTTCTAAAGTTGAATGTATTCCATTTACAGCCCAATTATTTCCAATCTCAAGGATTTGATCTATTGTCATCTATAGTAAAAGTAAATAAATATTGATTGAAATACAAAAGATAAATATGCCATACATACATTATCAATAATATTTAGTAATTGTTCAGTGATAGGACATGAAATTTTTGATACACAATTTTTTAGATTATCATAAGGCTTAGAAATAATTTCGATTTGGTCACTATTTAGAACTTCATGAACCCTTCCATAGCTTAAACCAAACCCTGTTAGAGGTGGTCTCAAATAGAGATGGGAACCGCAATTAGCCGCAATTCAATTTTCATATGCCGCAACTGCAACCGCAATTCAATTTTTGTATGCTGCAATTAGTTGCAACTAATTGAGGAACCATCTTTAGTCTCAAATCAAGTATTCTCCAAAATATGGGGCTACAAATATAGAAACAAAAAAATACAAGATGAATGTTTTGTAATTAATATAACTATATTTCAAATTAGCTAATCAGAATTTTGTGTCCAAACACTCCACCCCAAAATTTTTAATTATAATAATAACAATAATAAATTTCATATTGACACAAATTTGATTTCAACTCACAACAATTACATATTGCACTTACTATTGAAAACCATCAGTTAAATTTCGATATTTTTTTATTAAATTAATAGTTGGCTCCATCCAGTCAATGTTGTAATTTTTGGGTAAAATTTTACACTCTTCTGTTAATGCTTCCTTATCAATACCACCATAATCTGTTTCCTCATTCTCATATTCTATGTTAACATGAAATTGCTGGATTTTTGTTCCATGATGTACATCATAAAAAACCAAAGATTAAATTTCATTAAAAATAAAACAGCCTAAATGAGGATAATTACTTACTTGTAGCTGTGACAATTCATGCTCATTTTCACTAAGTTCAAAAAAAGGTTATAAATAAGATCAATTTACTGTAAAACTAGAATAGCAAGAGTGGTTCCATGCAACCACCATTTTTAAAAAAAAAACTAGAGTGGCAACAAATGGTGATAACCACCATTCTTATGATAAATTAGAGTGATGAGTGGTGGCAATAACAACCACCATTTAATGATAAACACAGAAAAAATTTTTATTTATGCGCGTATGGGTTGTACAAAGAAGCCACTATTGTTATTGTTGTTGATGCGATTGAATTTTTTTTTGGAAAAACAATTTATCTTTTCAAGATGAGAAAGTGCAAACATTGTTGTCGTTTGGTATGGCTGGTTCTAAAGGAGACATGTTGTTGTTTATTGATGGCGAGAGGTACATTATTTTTTGTTGCATTGTATTGATTTTTTTTTTTATTGTTTAATTGTTTTATAAATATTGATATACATTGATTCTTTACTTAATAAATATTATTGCAAAATAAAAACACAGAACAGATCTTGTAGTGTCTTGGGTATTTATGAAATTCTTTATCATGATAAATGATTGTATTGTTTTTGCTTTTCGTAATCAACATTAATAATATTAAAACATTAAATGGGGCATGCTGCAACAAAACCAGACAAAGTGAACATTGGTGTTACCAATGATTTCAGGGATCAAAATTTAGTCATTTGTAATGTGATTATAATTATCAGTTTTATAATATTTTTTAATCAATTCTTTATTAAGGAAAAATTAATAATTACAAGAAAGAAATAATGAAAAAGTAAGAAAAAAAAAAGACAGCAAAGAGACAAAGAATCATTCAGCATCAAAGTTTTCATTAAACTCCTCATGAGAATCTATTTTTTTGGTTTTGTTGCTGTATGTCACTATTGATCCAATTATTGTTATTATATTAGAAACAATATTGTTGTTAAAAAAATTTTTTTAGCTGTTTTGTTTTATTATCATTCATTATTTGATATTTTAATTTCATTAGTTCATTGTATTTTCTACTGGAAGGCTAGAATCAAATAATATATATATTGTATATAATGTGATAAATACTTGCAATATAATTTATTTATAAAACTTAATAAATTTAAATGAAATTATGCATTTTTGAAAATTTTTTTCAAAAAAAAGAAAAAGGGGAGAATGATAAATATTTAAGAGTAATATAATAAACAGTAATATATAATAATAACAACACCTGAAATAAGCTAATTATAAAAAATAAATTCAATTCTTTACTTTTGTCTTAGTTTTCGAATTTTCATTCTGTACTGATAATTTTATTGGATCAAGAAATGATTGTTTAATTAATCGAAGTTTTTGTGATTTTGTATGTTGTGATTTTTGAATTGTGATTTGATATGCAACAGCCTCATTATTGACAACATTCTAAAAGATGCATTATTAACAAATAGAATGTTAAGATAATCAAGATAATTGCTATTATTTCTTCATGTTGAATTTGTTTGCTTGCCTTTAATGTACTTAGCACCTGAAAACATCTAATTAAAGTTCCCCATGTAGCAATACCTTCAGGAAATAGAATTTCACCAAGTAATATCATTCTATAAACTCCATCAAAACAAAGATCCATAATATAAATACATCCTAAAAACCCTATGATAATTTAAAATATCAAAGGAGAAATTACTCACCCAAATAAAACTTCGTCCATATTAACCAAACACAACTTACCAATAACTTGAAGTCCACTGATAACAAGATCCTCCATTCCATCCTCAATTCCTTTGTCCAGACAATATTTCATTGTCTTACCAAGACATATGAAATCTTCATTCACTAAAGATACTTTTGTACCAGGTGGTTTGAATTCTCCAATTAGTAGTTCAATGTAATTGTTATAATTTATAGTATGAACAATAAAGTCAGGTCTGACTCCCATTAAAGTTGGGTCGAACTTTTTTTTCATTTGAGCTGAAGATATTGAAGTTGTGTTGGACCTACAGATACATAGAAAATTGAACATGACGTGGTGTGGATCATCATAGTAAACACCAATCAATCGATACATACCACTTCATAGCTGTTCTCCTGTTATTAGCAAAGAACGGCTTAACAACAGGTTCGATAATATCGTGAATAAAGGTATCTTCATTGTAGTCATCACTAAAAGATGATGTATTATTTTCTGCCCTGTAGAACATGAAATAACCTTGTTAGCATACTTCTATTTGATAAAGAACATTATATCATAAAACCTTACAGGTTTCGAAGAATTTTAAACATTATTTCTTCAGAATCCGTGGCAGGTTTGATGTCATGAAGGAATGTTTTGATTATATTTCGACATCGATGATGACTTGGTTCAGAATATGTTATCTAAAACGTGATGAAGCATACATTAGATTGCATATAATTAATTGGAAAAGGTGTTAAACAAATATTACATTACATTCATGACTTTGTTAACAAGGTTAAAGACTAGTGCCGTAATCCAAAAAAGGAAAAAGTATGGTTGCAAAAGTGGTCGCAAAGGTAATTGCAACCACTTTTTATATGCCGTAAATACAATTACTACCATCATCATAATTTACAGCACCAGTCTTTAGATAACCCTAGGACAGACAAATTCTGATGGAAAATTCACTAAAATCATCACGATTATCCATGATTATCATCAGTTAAATTTCCATTATTCATTCTTCGTTCATTCATTTCATCAATATCAATAATGTCATTGTCATTTCATTTCATAACAATTTCACATTGCACATATAACACAAGATGAGTTGGTTTGGTAAAAATGACCAGATGATCTAATGATGAATGGTTAGAGTGAGTGTGTTTGGCTTGAGAGAGAGACACCCTAAAAAACTTTCAATAATAGAGTGCGGTGATTTCACATTTTGCATCTTACATATGTGCATATATAACACAAGACAAGTGAAGCTTGTAAAAATGATTGGATGATCTAATAAAAAAAAGAATTGAATTTCATGGTTCCAGGACATACCAAATTCAAGTGTGATGATAGTTTTGGATTGATTAAAAAACTCTATAGAAGAACAAGAGTAGATTGTCTGGATCATTGGTTGTAGTAAAAAAGTCTAGTCCAGCAAGATTAAACAAAGCTCAATGTTATAATGGTGAAAAGGCTTTCAACACTTAGATATTAAAGCTATTTTGGGAATTTATTTTAAGAACTTGCCAAGCATGCAGAAATATCAATATTTTCTTTTTGAAGCATCTAAACCTGGTGTGGTCAAAACTCAGGAGGTTGATAATGGTCCTTTTGTTGAATTCAATTAATTGAAAATCAAAAAGGCAATATTTCTGAAGAGATTAAAGATTTATCTATTCTATATTAACACCTCCTCCTTTAGATTACAAAAGGCAAGGATATCTTTACCAAAATCTTCTCCCATTTGTGAAAGATGAATACAAAGATATTACTTGTCCAAGACCAATCTATACTGGCAATGAATAAAATATTTAGGATAAAATCACTTTTCATGACTTTGCCACTCATGAATTTGTCCCTTACTGTCATAAAGTTTAATAAATTTAATCTTTCTATTCCACTTTTTAAAGTAAAAAGTACTAAAATAATTTATATATTTAATATATATTTGCAAAAAGGATATAAGTATATATTAAAAGAATAAATAAAAAAAGGAACAAACAAGAAAATCATGACAATCATCCTAAAAGAACAACAAAATAAAGATTTACTAAATAAAATCAAAACACTGAAAAAGCAATTAACTGATAAAGAAGAGAATTTTAAACTAAGAATTTGAAATGCTTACTAAAAGTTCAGGATATTCTGCTTCAACTTTAAGAGCCTTAGAAAGATCCACTTGACCTACCAATGTATGAGTAAGCTATCCAGAAAAGAATGGAATTAAAATTGGGATTATTTTTAACAGTGAATTCACTACTGAAAGTATTGTTAATGTTGCATGCTTTATTAATTAAAATATTAAAATCTTGAATCTTTTAAAAATATTTTTGTGAGAAATTTTTAATAAATACTCTTC